TGTTGAGCTTCTCATTGACCAGCACTCCCAAGTCCTTCTCCTCAGGGCTGCTCTCGAGCAACACAAGCACAGAAAGCAATAAAGAAAGCAGTCAACACCTTAAAATAAGAGCCAGGTCCTAGTGAGGATTGATAGTGCTTCCCACTGTGAAAGGCTGGTGAGTTTAAAGAGAAAGGGGTAGGGAATGCTTTTACAATGGTTCTTCTCTTGTGCTTTGCAGGCTGTGGAGTTCTGGCTTTCCATATTGTAGTGTCTTGTGTAGACAAATTTGGAAGTTTGGATAATGCCACTTTTTGAAATGCCAGCGTTCTGTGTATTAGAAGCCCTGGTGCTTCAGTCTTGGCAGAGCTGAACCTCCTAATCACAGCAGGATACGTTTGCATTGTCTGCAACGTAAGGTGGACGAGTTTTTTTAGTAATGAATTGCATGGCTTAAAGAGAAATTTCAAGGTAAACTTCCAGTGCAGCTTAATTATATTTTTTAAGTGAAATTTGATTTACAGGGTGGTTTAAATTAGATCTGCCAATTTGGATTTCAAGAATGGCTTTATGCTTGCATAAATAACAGTATTTTTTTTTTCTTTCAACAGAGGTTGCAGAACTTGAAGCTAATTTACCTTGTAAGTATAGCATTTAATGGGATGTGTTTTAAGGGGAAAGGGACTGTTGAACTGAGTGCTTTGACTGAAGTATGAATGCTGATGATATTTGTTAACTCTAGGGAAGGCTGTGCAAAACTCAGCCACCCAGGCTCGATCAGATTTTTTTTGTTGCTCCCTCTTATTAGCGTCCTTTGGAAGCAGTATTGGTAATTTTGCTCTAGAATTTGACTTCTGGTGGAGTGGGAGCTTCCGTCTTAGAAAACACCCAAAGATACCTGGAACTGAAGTGTGCATTTATTGCCTCACTCCTGTTATTCCTCCATTCTCTTTTTTTCGAAGCAAGAGATAGATGCTGTTTTAGGGGCAGAACAGATAGCTCAGTTCTCAGGAAACATATTAAATCACCCTAGTGCTTTTTCACTTCACATGCCAGCTGCAAGCTGATGTGTTTGTTAATAGTAAAAAATACTAATGAAAAAAAGTTTTAAGTGATCCGTATTCCTTAAAAAAAAAAAAAGGCAAGATAATGTGGTTTTAGCTCTGGAATCTTTCTTGTGATGTATGTTATGCTAAAAGCTGAAAATATTAATGAGCACTTTAAAATAGGCTTTTAAGAGCACAGGTTAAATGGCTCGTTGCTTCTAAAGCTGTGGATAGATAGTGAAAAATCAAATATATATTTTCTACTCCTTAGCTTTAAAAAGCCTCGTTCTGCAATGGACAGCAAAACACAAAACTCTTTTATAAAGTTCCTGCTGCTCTGTATTTTTTGCTAAAAGTGGATGTTGACAGTGAAACTGAATTGTTGCTGAGCTCCCTTTCCCTTCAAGTGTTGACCAGAACAGCATCACTCTGCCGAGTGAGCTCTTGGAATGCAGACAGGCACAGCAAGTTATTGCCCGGTAAGCTCAGAGGCACGTTCAGAGCCCTTCTCTCGCTCTGCATAACTTCCTGCGGTGCACGTGCCTGTTCCAGAGTCATCGGAGATGTTTTTTTAAAGAGCCATGAGCTGCTTGCAGCAGAGGCAGAGTGTCTGTGGAGGATATTACTATTCACAAGGTTTGTCCTTATCTTACAAAGAAAGGCAGTGAATATTCTCTCCAGTTACACTGGCAGGTAGCTTGTGATGTTTCTTGTCTTTCCCCTTCTTAGGGAAGCTTTGACCATGTTTTTTCTCTCTGGGTGAAACTTCTCAGTGCTGCTTCTGATGAGCATCTTTTATCTGGTAAGGATTCTAAATCCAGATCAATGCCTAGATCTCAAAAATCAGGCTTTTCAGTGTACGGACTGCCTGGTGGGAGGAATTACAAGGGGAAAAAATGCAGAGCAGAAGCAGCAAAAAGAGAGGGCAAGAAGAAGCATTGCTTCACTCATCTTTCTATATGCTCCTCTTTCTTAAAGACAATTATGGAGATTTTTTTGCAGAGTAATTCTAACTTTTGTCGAATTGTTGGAGTTTTTTTGTGTGGACTTCCACAGGATAACAACCACTTGAGAAATGTATAGCAGGGTTTGTCGTTACTACAATGTGAATGTGTTACTAGGATTTGTGTACAGTTCCAGTTATTTTTTTCAGGCAAATAGGGTCTGTATCTCTGATGCTATTGAGCTCTTTGATGAAGGAAAACGAACAGCCAGCTTGATGGATCAAGCAGCCAAAGGCTGCATAATGTGGATAATAATGTATCCATGGATATACACATATTCGAGTGCCAGCTTGACAGCTTGTCTCTGGCATAGTCAAGAAAGGCCAGTTTTGTGCATGGGAAGGCAACTTAGTTTGTGTCATCAAATGTGAACAAAGGGCTGTTATGCTGTGAACTTTCATTTGTTGAGCTGAAACCACTGCCTGGTTTCATCACAGCCCCCAGGCAACCTCAGAGATCGATTTTTTTATCTTTTTTTTTCCGCACTTGTTCTTCATTCTCACTCTTCTCCCTAAACTCATCTATCTGAGAATAAAAACATAGCGTTTTGTTTGTAATGATGCTCCATAGCCTTTGCTGTTAGTGCTTGTAATTAGTTACGCTGAAGAAACTTGTTCAAAGTGACAGCTGAATGGAGACTTCGCTGGTTTTTGGATGAAGCTTTCAATAAAGCTTGTATCTCATTGTACCTTACAAGTATAAATAATCCTTTGATAGCGTAGGGCTGCGGTGGTTTGACTTGTTGCAGACTGTGATGTATGATCAAATGTTTGGAGAGTGTGAAAGATGATATGCTTGCTTTCCTAACAGTGGAAAAACAATTGTCTGATGTAAATTACTCTTTTGCTTCATAGGTACGTGTAAAGTGAATTTTCCTGACCCAAACAAGCTTCATTACTTTCAGCTAACTGTAATCCCAGGTAATTTCTTAAACATGTTGCTTTTTCTGTGTGTGTTGATGTTCAGGAAATGTAATTCCAAGATTTTGCTCAAGAATCCAATAAACTTTGTAGTCAAAGAAAGACTGGCTGTAATACAGTGATTATTTTATAGAGGCAATGGAGAATCTGAGCTGGATTTTGAGAACTAGATTGCAGTAAAAATGCCATCAAAATCGAGCATGTTTAGGAGCTATTCAGGTCTTGTTCAGACACTTTGAAAACTTTTTTCTCTCAACCAATTTCAAACCACCTTGTTTTATTTGCTGAGAAAAATCTTGGACTATGTCTACAGAAACTATTGTATTACAGCCCCGTTATGTTGCAGATTTATTCTTTTCTACTGATTGCTTGGTTCTGCAGAGTTGAAAAGGTAGGTGACAGATAAAACACTGCTGGAAAACTTCAAATCTATGCATTTCTGAAGATGCTTAACAAGTAGGAGTCTTTTAAAAGTCTGTGGATATTCAAGTATGTGGAAATTAGATCTTCTGTTATCAAGACAACTTAAGTATACTGCGAAACTTCTGCTGACATGGTGTTCAATAAAAACAAAAGCTCAGGACTACATTTTTGGAGTTTATCATCTCCACCTGAGTTCTGTAATAGCCCTCTGAAATGACAAAGTTTGCTCACATAGCTGTCCATTTTTGAATAGAAAGTTGTGTTTGTGTTTCATGGATGAATTTGCATGGAAGATTATTTAAACTTCACATGCACTCCTGATTTTTGCTGTGTGTTACCTTTGAGACTCTGTGCAACTCCTTAAATGAGAACATTGATGTGTTAGGTACACAGAATTGTTAAATGTACCAGGATCAGTATCTTCCTACCAACTGGTTCTTGTAGGTGCACATTTTCTGCACGTGCTTATTGACAATAGAATTTGGATGCGTTGTGGCAGTCAAGTGATGTCTTACCTATAGAAAAGATGATTTACACTTAACAGGGTGATAGTTTTTCTGATAATCCAGTATCTCGAAGTCAAACAGGCACTAGATGTCACTGTTGCTGCTTATTAGCCAAAGTCAACTAGTGCTTCGTCTGCTGAAGAACTCTTGGGTGGTCCTTGTTAACATGTCCACTCCTTTTTGTGATGGAAAAATGAGTAAGACTGCTCTAGTCAGTGTAATAAAAAATAAATGCAAGAGTGATTATGGAACTTTTAACCTCTCATTCTGTGTAGAAGATGTATTCGTGTTTACTTGGTGAGTGTTAGTCTACCTGCACCAAGTGTCCTTTGGTTTATATGATGCTGCTTTACTATAATTTTGGAAATGAGTTAACTTCACAAGTAGTCATCACCGTGCGAGTCAGGGATGTCTAGAATGTGAAGCAATGATAGCTTCTTCGTACTAATTCTGAGGTGTCTAAATACATAGTCATTTTTTTGTCTGTTAACTGCTGTGCAGCCAAATGTTGCCATCAGAAGACAGCTGTTGAGTACACAGTATAGTTTTTTGCTACCTTCGTTGCTGAAATGATCTTGAGAATAAGATGATCTTAATTAACGTTTTGTTACTCTAAATATAGCTGCACAGCTGAAGTCTCTGCAGTCTGACCGAAGTAAACATCTATTTTCAGCTGTGTATAATTCAGGTACAGAATCTTGTGATCAGCTACAGCTTAGCACAGTTCTTTAAGGGCAGAACCTAACACATACCAAGAAAATCTTTGTGGCTTTGATTTCCTTAATTACAGAGTTTTTTCTTTAGAATATGGGAAATATTAGTTTTCTTTGGAATAGCAGAGAAGCAGCTTAGTGGCTGTCACAGAATTCTTCTGGCTCAAATGGGCCAAAAACTTTGCTTGAGGCAACTATTTTTGCAGAATCTAAACTACGATGCATGAACCTTGACAGTCTGGAGTAAGAGCCAGTTTTCCTCCTCCTGCCTGGAGCTGCCTCTTGCATGGAGGAGATGAGCTACTTCTGGAAACCCTACTCACACATCTGGCTCTTAACAGAGCGCTTCGCAATTAATGTCTGCACTTGAGGTTTGCAGTTTGCTTATCTGCAGTTACAGAAATTGCATCCTTCAGTGACAGGTCTGTTACAGGGGTGCTCATTATTTTATATTCATATTTTATGTTGAAGTTCTCATATTCTGATTAACACTGGAGCTTGAATTCTGTAACTAGGGAATCTTACACCAAGACAGTTCCTGCAAGTAGCCGGCTGTCAGGGTACCATGAAGGTACTAACTGAACATGTTTTTTAACACAGTGCCTTTTGGGGTCAGTGTTCTAGCCCTGTGTTATTGACCAAGCTTGTTCTCAGCTGCTTTGTTTGACTTGGTCATTTCGAATGTGACTCATCTTGAAAGGACAGAGAAAGGAAGCTTCTTCAGGTTCTCCTAAAAAGACTAATTTGAACAAGAGAATAATCTTCACACCAAGCTCCCTTGCTCTGCACTTCTCATAATAACCTTTCTTAGTAAGCATTTAATGTCACAGAATTATCCTGGTGGCAGTGCGTTTTAAATTAAAGTGAATTTGTAGAAAATCTTGGTGAGGGTAACTGTTTATTTCATGTAAAGTTATTTGTCTGCAAGAAATTCCAATTTCTTTACGTTAGTTTTCTGCAGCGCACCATAAACGGATATATAGTAGGACATGGTAAAAATGGATAAGACTTAAATTTTACTGCCACAACGGACAAACTGTGTTCCTGAGGCAGATACTGCTGGCTTGCTTTGCTGTCTGAAGCTTTTTTCCTTTTGTCATCTGAGACAATCGTTCTGTCATTGAAAAATGAGCTTACGCCGCACTGCTTGCCTTTGTTCTTATTTTTGTGCCAGTACCTTACTGGATCAAAAGCTAGGAAAAATAAAGAGATAGAGGCTTATGAGCTGGGCAGTTCTGCCTGCTGCACTGATATTTGGAGCACAAAATTGGAAGCCGAGACTAAAACATGGTAATGACCTGGAAAAAAAAAAAAAGAAGGTGAGTTTAGGTAGCTTGCACATAAAGAAAACTAAAGGAATATGTAGAGTTAATGCAATTTTCCTACACTTCCCAGACAGTCGGGGTAGTTTGGGGCTAGTGTGATTATTTTAGTGTCCCATTCTTCAGGGAATTAATAAAGAGCCTGTTTTCTGTTTTGCATGCCATAAAATGACAAGTGTCCGTGAGCATGGCTGAGCATTTCAGTGCTGCTGATTCAAGGAGCTAGTATCAGAAGCACATCCTTTGTGGCCTGTCCTAATTATCTTGCATTTTCTTTTAAAGCCATAAAATAAATCAGTTTAGTATTTTCACAGCGCTTTTAGCCATCAAAACACCTTACAAATGCAAACCAAGATTAGAATGGGGTTGTTGGTGATGAAACTTGAGACAGAAGTGGGAGGGATGCTTGGTCTGTTAATACAGCTTGAAGACGTAAGAGTTAAGCAGTAGGAGGAAGACTGGAGCTCAGACATATTCCTTCTTTGCAAAAGTCTCATCAGTGGCCAACTTCCTAAGCTAAGTGCTAAAGCTGTTTTATTTGACTGCTTTATTTATAGCACTTTCCTCGCTATTAACTTTGCCAGAACTTCAGTTTTTCCCCCCTGCTGTCACATGCCTAAAAAACTGAGAGTCTTTGTCCCAGTCTGAGGGTTGTGGGACACAGGGAAGGAAACGACCATGTGGGAGAACCTCTTTACTTGCTTGAGATGCTGTAAGATGACTTCATCAGAAAGGCTTATCTTCTTAATGCATTGCAAGACTTCTGGCTGGGTACTGAGGCCCTCCAGAGATATGAATTTTTAATATACGTTTGAGTGATGGGTGACGAGTAGCATGCTTTATTGTTGCTTTAGTGAAAAGATTTACAAACATACAGGGAGAATTGTAAGAAAGGGGGGAGGAGAGATGCTTTACTCTTGGAATTTGGTAAGTATGTCCTTGCTTATTTTATAATAGAACCAGCAGTGTACTCAGTGCATTTTTTGGTTAGTGCTAGCATGATTTGAGGCCAAAGTAAACTCAAAATGTAAAATGAGTTGTAATGCAAGCCAGCGAATTGTCTTTGAGGGAGACGTGATCATATATGTATAGAAATGATCTCCAGCAGGAGGCACAGTATGTAGAGTGCTCTTAGTCTTCCAGAGATTTCTCAGCTTTACATAGAACACAGAAAAAATAAGAGGAAACTGAGTTAATACATGAGGAATCTCTTACAGCCTGTGGAAGTGTTAATAGACAGAAAGTGCTTGAGCTAATCTGAAACCTGTTTTTGCTAAGGAAAAGGGCTGTTCTTTCACTGTCTGGTCCTGCAGCTTTGCTTCTGACACTGATAACTCCTCTTTAGGCCAGTTCATCTCAGTAATCCTGCAGGAAGCTCGATGCTCTTCCTGCAGTGATGGTTTTATACAGCGAGAGGCTCAGCTGAGCTTGTCCCTTCCAGCTGAACTCACTGATGAACGTCTGATTCATCCTGCACGTGGCCACTGGGAGTTTCTTCTGTGACTGGGTGGAAGTGGAGCTATCCTGAGCTGGGTCTGCGTGGTGGGGAAGAGCAGAGAAAATGTGAAACAACTGGTTGTGTTTTTTCCTCACCCCGTGCATCTGTTGAGCAAGGTCAGAGTGATCTTGGAGTCAAGGACCTGCCTTAATGTTCCTGCATGCTGCAGAGGCTATTGGCCTGGTGTTTCCAGTGTGCAGAGAGATGTGGAGCGTGGCTTTTCTCTTGCTGCTTGAGTGGCAGGAATCTGACAGCCTTTTGGCAAGCTCTCCTCCCTTGGAGCTGTTCTTGAGTGTTTCTTTTGGACAATTGTGTTACCGTAAGGGTTCATTAAATCTGAGGGTTTTCTTTGACATAAGGCAACAGGCATCTATTTCGCATTAGCAGGGGTAGAACATGAAGAGCTGCTGCGCGCTTCACTACAAGTCTGCAAAATCAAGGACTGTTGAAATTAAGCCAAGGAAAATAACTTTCTGCTGCTGGATTTCCTGAACAACCTTAACAGTGGTGGTGGTTCTCCTTTACCTTGCTGTACTGGCCGCAGGTTTCTCCCTGCACAAACATATGTGGGTGTTTCATGGGATTGTGTATTTTGGAAACTGATAGCTTGATAAGTGCTTGTGAGCCAAAGGATGGTGGGGAGGCCCGTGGAAGGCCTTGAGGTACATGACTTGTACTGTGACAAACACTAAATTCCTGTATGATGTTGCTTTGTTGTTTAGTACGATCACTAAAAGATTGGAGACTTTCAGTTGTGGTTTTTACAAGGAACAGCGACATCCTTGGAAAAAGTGAGAATTCCTGATACTTGGTTAAACTATTACAATGTGCTAGGTGGTTGATGAAGTGTGGTTAGCTGTGTCCTGTAGGGTGTCTCAGTGGTGCTTGAGCTGTTGGAACACCCAGGGCGATCATTTCCTTAATCATTCCTTCCTGGAACAGTGAGTGTCTTGCTTGAATGTTCTGCGCATTTGACAGGGAGCAGTTTCATCAAAAGGATACTGGTGTAACTCACCTTTTACATCTCATTCTTTAGAAATGGCTTGCTTTACTGATTTTTATCTCGGTATATTTGAAAACAGAAGATAAATGCTTTTATCTTGCCTTTTTCCATAAAAAGTAGTGCATGTGCACTTACTTTCTGGTAAAGCGTAGCATGCCTGAGAAGGCTGCTTAATAAATCAAACACACTTCAAAATCGAATTGGAGATGGAGAATGTATTTGGAAAGCATATGTTCTGAGAAGGTTATTAAAGTGAGATTTGCAGTGGCTAAGGTTGCAGCTTTGTGCAGCTCCATGTGGGATGACTGGAGGTTTGGGTGAGTGGGGTGCAGTTCAGTGTGGAGGTGGCTGCAAACATTGCTGTGTGGGGTGAGGAAGACCAGCCGTGTTCTGTTTTCACGCTCTGTGCCTATGCTGCTGTTGCAGTCCAAAATTTCTGGTGCTGTTCACGTGCTGAACCTGTCAGTGGTCTACACAGAGGCTCCTGGGAGAAGCTGGACCACGATGTACTTCTCAGCAGCTCTTCCACTGTTCTGCAGACGCAGGTCTTTGGAGCGGCAAACTGGGCATAGCGTGCAGTTGAGTCTTGTTTTTGGCAGCATCAGCTTTTACTGGCTCCCTTCCCTCTACACCTGAGGGTTTGTGTTATTTAGCAGTGTGATGCCCTCTGCTTTTCAGTAAGTCAGCTGATACGAGGTTGCAAAGAGGAGAAGAGTAGGAGCTGACTGCTCTCTTGTGATTATGGCAGTTACAGTGTGGAAGCTACACGTCTGTGCTGACAGTGGTGAGATTGTAGCATGGAGTGAAGCCTGAGTGAGTGGATGTTGTGCGTTTGTTGGTAAGAGAAAATAGAAGGTTGTGCTAGATGTGTAGGGACTGGGAAGTCAGCAGGTCCAGAAGACACCATCCTGAAAGAGAATTTTCATGACGTATAATATAGGAGCTAGAACTTTTTTGTGGTTTAGAATGAGCTAGGTAATAAGAAAACTCTTCTAAATTTCTCTGTAAACTATGGGTTGCTTCACAGAATTTCCCTTTGCAATGTTGATTTTAAAAATAATGTAAAAAAAAAAAAAAATCTGTTATACAATGATAGCCAGCCTTCCTGACCCTCCAGCCTTCACCATGGCTGTGCGGAGGGCTAGAGTACTCAAGGTAGTTTGAGCCTGAGCATTCCTGAGCTGTCCCAAACCCTCAGTGTGGGCTGGCTACCTATCTGTTTCCCTTCAATAATGACAATGCCAGACAGGCACATTCCAGGTCACTTGCAAGCATTTCATCTTCCAAGCAAGGCCATTTCAAGAGTTTCAGGTTGACTATTTTCCTATTATATATATTCTCTCTCGTTAAATGCAACTAGATATTTTCAGATTTCATATTTTAAAATTTAACTGTTTTAGTAATTCCGTATTGAATCTGAGGTTGACAGAGGCAGGCAGATTTTTCTAACTGATACATGATCCTGAGATAATTACAATAAAAGAGCTAACTTGGTCTTTCATTGTAGTACACTCTGACGCATGGTCTTGCACACCATTTTTCGTATTACTCATGGTTTGTGATTGCTAGCACAAGTCTGGGAAGAGGTATGAAATCCTGGAGCAAGATTTAGCATGCATTAGCAAGTGAAGTATGTATCCAGCTCATTCCAAGGGTTGATGTTGTGGTACTGCACACCCTGTGGCTGCTGTGTGGCAGAATTTTGTTTATAGAGACGCGAGAAGTTCAGTCAAAGTTTCCTCTAGCCCGGTGTTGCCTGGTACTGGGATCAGAAAGATGGTTTGGCCAGGGTCACTCTGGGACTTTGGACTTAAATTTCTGCTGGAAAGGTTTTGGGAGTAAGGGAAGACACTGTTCACACTCTGTTTGGACTAGGTGGCAGGTAGTGTTATGGTATAACTAGGTTAAGTATTTGATAATAACCTTGTGCTGTTATTTTAATCTTTTTAATGACATGTATGTTGTATTATATGGCATCTGTTATTTTCTCTTATTTAACTATTTTTCTTTTTTTCTTTGCTAGATGAGGGCTATTACCAAGGTGGAAAGTTTCAGTTTGAAATTGAAGTTCCTGATGCCTACAATATGGTGGTGAGTATTTGTCAGTAATCTAGTAGTGGTCACTTCAGATTTGCTTTCCAGGTAGTAGGACTTCAGGGGAAACTTGACATTGAGGCTGAGAAAGGATCTTCTGTCTGTTACTGAAGTATCATGGGTTGTAGAGAAATCTTGGCTGCCTGGAATTTTTGGACGTCATCTAAACTCCTGCTCAAAGCTGGGGTAATGTTAAAGTGGGACGTGGTTGCTGAAGGCCTGACTCAGTTGGCATTTCAAAATCTCTTAGGCTGAAGATTCCACTGCCTCTCTGGGCCTCTGTTCCAATGTTTAATTACTTTTGTAGTGCGTTTTCTTCCTATATCAGGTCAGAATTTCCCTTTTTGCAGTTTATCTGTTGCCTCTTACTTTTTGTTGTGCATCTCTAAGAAGAGCCTGACTGTCTCCTCTATACCCTCCCATTAGATAGCTGTAGACACTATAAGGTCCTCACCTCCAGCCTTCTCTTCTTAAGGCTGAACAAATCCAGGTCCCTCAACAATACTTGTACTGTGTGCTCTGGTCTCATCATCATCTTGGTGACTGTCTGCTGGGCTTGTTCCAGTTTAAAATTTTATCTGGTACAGGGGAGTTCAAAATGGGACACAGCATTCTAGATGCAAAGCATTTGATACTGTCCCACACGACATCCTTGTCTCTGAATTGGAGAGACGTGGTTTTGGTGGATGGACCACTTGGTGGATAAGGAATTGGCTGGATGGTTGCACTCAGAGTTGTGGTCAATGGCTCAATGTCCAAGTGGAGGCCGGTGACGAGTGGTGTTCCTCAGGGGTCAGTAATGGGGCCAGTGCTATTTAACATCTTTATTGGTGACATGTACAGTGGGATCGAGTGCACCCTCGGCAAGTTTGCAGGTGACACCAAGCTGTGTGGTGTTGTGGACACGCTGGAGGCAAGGGATGCCATCCAGAGGGACCCTGACAGGGTTGAGAGATGGGCCCATGTGAACCTCATGAGATTCAACAAGGCCAAGTGCAAGGTCCTGCATGTGGGTTGGGGTAATGCCAAGCACAAGTAGAGACTGGGCAGAGAATGGATTGAGAGCAGCCCTGAGGAGAAGGACTTGGGGGTCTTGGTTGATGAGAAGCTGAACATGACCTGGCAATGTGCCCTGGCAGCCCAGAAAGCCAACTGTGTCCTGGGCTACATCCAAAGCAGCGTGGCCAGTAGGTTGAGGGAGGGGATTCTGCCCCTCTACTCTGCTCTTGTGAGACTCCACCTGCAGTGCTGTGTTCAGCTCTGGGGCGCCCAACACAAGAAGGACATGGAGCTGTTGGAGCAAGTCCAGAGGAGGGCCATGAAGATGATCTGAGCTTTCCAGAGAAACTACAAATAACTGCAGTATCTTATTGTGGATAAATAGACAGCTCCAGACAACTTGGCCTTTTCCAGCATGAGAAATGTTAGTATTTCATTACTTTACTAAAATTGCAGAACCTTGCAAGGGAGAGGAGCTGCAATTAAAATAAAAATAACTTCAGACATTGTTTTCAGAGTTCAGCTGTCAAAAGAACAAGATTGGCTCCAAAAATGGAAAACAGTTGGGGCACACATGTGGTTCTCAGGAATTACGCCTGCAATTCTGTATCCCAGTAGTTTGATGCGTAAGGAAACTAGACTCATTTAAATTGGAGTCGCAGTATTTGCATTTAGGTATGAGTTGCAGCTTCTTTTAGTTTGAATGGTTTTGGTAATTGCTTTTGTAACTTTTTTTCTGATCCTTCTGCTCTCTGTTTTCTTACTTTTGGTGTTGGTAGTTCAGAACTTTGCTCTTGGAGAGGCTGAAGAATGTGTAGGGGAGAATACTAGGATACTAGAGAAATGTCTCCAGGAAGACCTTTGGCTTTTGTGGTTGGATGCACTAAGCCTAAATTCACTGTTGTATGTATGTGGTAGTTGTGGTCACAGCATTGTTTATATACATGTATGAAGGAGGTGTTAGAATCCTAGAATAGTTTGGGTTGGAAGGGACCTCAAAGATCATCTCATTCCAACCCCCCTGCCATGGACAGGAACACCCTCCACTACACCAGGTTGCTCAAAGCGTCATCCAACCTGGCCTTGAACACCTCCAGGGATGGGGCATCTACAACTTCTCTGGGCAACCTGTTCCAGTGTTTCACCACTGATTCCTGAGATTTAATCTAAATCTGCCCTCTTTCAGTTTAAAGCCATTGCCCCTTGTCCTATCACTGCATGCCCTTGTGAAAGTCCCTCTCCAGCTTTCTTGTAGGCCCTTTTAGGTACTGGATCCCGACTGTCTTTGTTGATGTACTTCTCTTAGTACATGTAGGTGGCTTTAGATAGCGTTTGTATGGGTTTTGGTTGTGCTTTTGGTTTTCCAGGTTCCCCTTATCCTCACCAATTAATTTCAAACTGTAATACAGGCCACCCTTACTAACTTGTGTGTGGTTACACACAGTGTAAATAAAGGTGGTCACTGAAGGTTGAGCTACAGCTGTGTTTTAACTTAAATAAATTGTGCCATCGCATACCTGAGAACCGTGGTCTTCAGCATAAAGGGGGAAACCCCATCGTGTTCTCTAGTCTCTAATTTTTAAGTCATCTTCAACAATAGCAATTGAACCACTGGGTCAATGTTGGGCACGGGGGAACATACACAATGTATACTCATTTTAATTTCTGAAATTTTTGTGTTGAAGGTGTTCACCTAAACACTGCTGCAGGAAGGTAATTGCTATTTGTTAACAGGAGAGTTGAATGTTAATTTTGATCTGGGTTTTTTTTGATTCTCAATTGCTATAATTAAAAAATCTTCTAGTTTGTTACGGTTCCCTGCTCAGCACTGGCAGAAAATCTACGGCAAATGTTAATTAGATATTTTTAAATTCCGAGCACCTCTCATTCAATGCAAAAGTAAAAAGTTTGCCTTTGTGCAATTTAGGAAAAAAATGCAGTAGGTTGAATGTTGGAATATGGTCAGGCTATTAATGAAAATGTGTATGTTCACAAATATTGAGATAATTGTGCTGAAGCCACGGTTTATTTTCTGCCAGGGAGAACAAGACTGAAACAAGTGATGGCAGTGGTTTTTAATGGAGCTTTTCAGACCTGCTGGTGCTCTTCCAGCCTGTGAGCAAAGTTGAAATATCGCACATCTGCGTTGAGCTCCTTGCAGTGGTGCTGAACACGTTTGTGTTGGGAGTAAAAGTACCAGACGAGACTGGGAAGTCATTACAGCCCTGCTTTAGAGCCTGCATCCATTTTCTAGCTAATCTTTTTAGCCTGCAGAAAGGAAGAACATCTGTTTTTAAAGCTACAAAATGCATAATTTATAATATAGTTTCTGCAACGGCATCCTTTAATTTCTTTTGCATGCTGTTGCCATAATCCTGCGTGTTTGCTGCTCCTCTGGGAAGTTCTTTTTTTGCCCTTCGTTACTCATGAACAAGCATTCTGCACTGGGAAGGGAAGCGGATGTGCGGAATGGTGGCGTGGTGAAAGAGGTTAAGAATATATAATTAAAGAGGAAAAAAACTAGAAAGATTTCATGTTGTGGACTGCAGCCGTGGCATACTGCTCTGCCCAGGGATTAAAGTGCTGGAGACTGACTCGGGAAGTCGTGGGTCTGTGAGTACAGGGAAGTAACGTGTCCTCCTGCTTTAGGTGGGACTGACTAGGAGGTACACTGAGGTGCAAAGAGTCAAGACCCCAAAATGTGGGAGGGATGCTTTGCAGCCTGGATGCTTTGGAGCAAGCGCTGTTGGGAAGTGCTGCTGCGTGCTTGTGATCAGAGCACGCAGCTGGTTAGGGTTTAATCAGGCTCCTGTGCCATCCAGCTGCTGTGCTGAGTACTGGAAGTGTTTATTGTGATTAGCTGTAGGGCAGTAAAAGATTATAAGGGTTCTTCTACTGTATCCATATTTAACGGAATCTCTTTAAGCTGTCGAAGAGGTGGATGGTTTTAGAAGCATCTGAGCTTGAGAACTGGAAAGGATTCCTATTTTTAATCAGTTATTGGAGACATGAGGATGGTTCAGATTGATTTGTGTTACAGTGCTAGTAGTAATTTGCATCACCCCACTCCTGCATTTCACTCTGTGCCTTCCAGAAAGGCTGAAGAGAGGTAAGAGAGCTCACCATGGGCTTTTCCTGAAGCAATGTGTTTCCCAAAGATGGGAACTCTTCCCAGTGCTGCTGTGCATTGCCATGTTGTCTAGTCTAGTGATGACTTTGTCCTTGTTGCTGGTTTAATACTGTAATTGAGTACGTATCGGCGTTGATTGTGCTGAACCAAGCAGTAATGAAATGAAATGGACCTGCTGGTACCTGTGGTCCGTAAACAATTTTTCTCCTACACTGCTGCTCTGCAAAGGTGACACTCAAGAAGTCGTGTGCCTCAGTAGTCTTTTTGAATTCGTTCAGTTCATACACTAATGAGCACTTGAGCTATCAGCTTTATGTTTTAATATTTACTCTCTCTAGTGTTCTCAGTTACACTTCTTCCTGCCTGATTAAGACAGATGCGGGATCTTTATCTTTTTTCCTTTTTTAGTGTTCGTGTGAAACTGCTACAAAGAACTCTTAACATTAAAATGCTCACTTTTTAAACTCCTCTATTGGAAATGAGGCCGGAATGAGGAATTCTGCTCATTGTTTTTCTGTGACCTCTGTGCAAACAGTCAGATGATGCTTCCTGCAGCCCTAATGAAGGAATTAGTTTGTCACGCTCCCAAGGATACAAACATACAAATATGATCCTGAGTGGAAAGGCCTCTGTTTTCCAGGAACAGTCAGAGTAAAAAAAAAATTTGAAAGGAGGACTTCATCCCATACATGCCTCAAAAATGTCTTCAAAAGGAATTTGTGCACCTCGGATCTCTTCCTTCTCTAATGATCTGATTGAGGCTGGCTGCTTTTTGGAGCCTTGGGGAAACCTGGCATTGTGTCTGCAGAATCCTCTGCTCGGATTCAAACTCTTTCACACCCAAGACTGACTCGATTATTTTTTTTATGGCACAGTTTTAGGGGCATGCCACAGATGGAACCAGTAAGCTTGAGCTTTTGATGTTTTCTGGACTCAGTGTGGTTCGTCCTATAAATACTGTCCATGTTTGGAGTACAAAAGGACAAAAAAAAAATCATTGAGGAGTTTTTTTTTTCCCCCTAAAGTTAGTCTATGTGGAAAGGTATTACAGTGAGGAAAAGTAAGGATATTGATAGTTAACTTTTAAGTTATTTTAGGGCATTAAAAGTCTTTGGAAGATCAACATTTAATTTTATCTATTCTGAATTGCTTTTGAAAGCTTCAATTTTTTTTTTTCCCTCAATTCTTCTGTAAAGATGACTGCCAAAGTACTAGAAGAAGTGTCAGCCTCTGCTAGTATAGGCCCCCTTCTGTCCCAGACGAGGGAATGTGGGATGTAGCTGCTCCACAGATCAAAACACTCCATATCATCATGTTTGGGAGGAAGAGTGCGTAGCTGCTCCACAGATCAAAACACTCCATATTTCATCATGTTTGGGAGGAAGAGTGGCTGATTCCTGCTTACACATCCATATGTGCATGAAACTGCCCTTGATACGTTACATACTTTGCACATCCATATGTGCATGAAACTGCCCTTGATATGTTATGTACTTTCTGAATGTACCCTTCTTTATATCATCAACAATTGTACACAGGGAAGCCCTTCTTTATATCATCAACAATTGTACACAGTTAAAGAAAAACTTCTTTAACAATGTAATGTATTATTTATCAGGTAGCCTGTGAACTGTTTTCTGTGATGATGATGGGATACATTCCAGAACAGGAAGCAGCTGATACTCATACAGATGTTGCAGAGGGATCATAAGAAGAAAACTGGAGCAGAGTTATGTAATTCTATAGGACCTCCTCAAACAACCATGCCATTAGAAATATTAAAATCTATTGGTAAACCTGTCACTTGGCATTTTAAAGCCTTATTTCTGTTAGGAAATAGGCTGCAGGTTCATGAGCTTTTGTGTAAAGCAAACAGAAGTTTGTTAGTGTTTGTGTTTACAAAACATGCTGGGAATGTTGCTGCACTTCCAAACATCAGAGGAAGCTGTGAAACAGCAAGCAAAACATTTAATGGTGTACACAGCAAATGCCTTTAGCACCAAGTGCTGCTGCCTGGCCTCTGTCTCTGCAGCATCTATTCCCCAAGCACTGCTTTTTTGCTTGACTAGCTGCCCAAGAATAGAGGTCAGTGGGAGATCAGAGTGAATCGTTTTAAAAAAAAATAAATAAAATCCAGTGACCAAGGGATTAATTGATTTAAACCCAAATAAACTCTGTTCTTTTCTGCCTTAAGATGCAGCTGATTAAATAAGGGGTGCTACAAGACTGGGGACCTGGTGCTTTAAGGAATGGAACCAGATTAATAGTACATACCTAGTTTAATGTTCACATAAAACTGTGAGAGACTGAGAGTCCCTTTGGACAGGGGCTTTTTACAGGGCATGTGGTGACAGGACAAGGGGCAATGGCTTTAGACTGAAGGAGGGGAGATTTAGATTAGATCTAAGGAAGAAATTCTTCACTTTGAGAGTGGTGAGGCACTGGAACAGGTTGCCCAGAGAAGCTGTGGCTGCCCTATCCCTGGAAGTGTTCAAGGCCAGGTTGGATGAGGCTTGGAGCAACCTGGTGTAGTGGAGGGTTTCCCTGCCCATGGCAGGGGTTTGGAACTGGATGATCTTTGAGGTCTCTTCCAACCCGAACCATTCTATGATTGTATAAAACTAAACTGTCAGCTACCACAAGCCAGACCTTGTTTGGAGCTCCCGTGGATCTGGCATATTGTGTTGTTGGAGTAGACAGTCATAGAGACTGGCGAGTTTACTGATATTTTTATGACATGAGGTGCCTTTGGCAGTGGTCAAAAGCTGGGAATTTAACAGCAGAGCTGCTGGTTCTGGCCCATTTTCTGGCCAATATGTTACTTTTGGAAACAGCAAACAATTGAAAGGGATTTGGTTCCTAAAGGATCAGGTGTCACAATTAAGGGGCTTCCATCTGCCTCTTCGGTGACCCTTTTTTATACAGGCTTGGTTTGAAACTGATGGAATGGGAATTGGGCTTAAGCTCCATCATGCCTGTGGATGGAAATTTTGAGGCAGCACAAGGAAGCTCAGGGACCCAAAGTGCATGACTTGGGCAGTTCCTGTGTCGAGACCCACTCCTACTGTAAGGCAGTTCCTCTTCCACTGGTCGAGCTAGGTAATCCAGTCCATCAAAAGCACAAGGCAGTGTGGCTTTGCTTTCCTCAACTTGTTTCTTTGTACTATGTGCTTAGCTGTGTTTGGTGTTCAGTTTCAGCCCATCTCAAGAAGTTCTTCAGGAACTGGTAGAAGACAGTAGCAAGAAATAGCTTAGGGCTAGCTTGTAGCTCAGTCCGTGGAATCTGTATTCCTGTTAATGCCTCTTTTGGGGAATTATGTTTTGTAGAAACTGTAAAGGAAAAAAAACCCTGGAGTTGCAGTTGCAAGGCAGTTCACAAGAATGCTTTGGGTCTATCTAGCAAGAACGTTTCAAATAACATTGATTCCAAATTTCTGCTAGGAACCCCATCCGTTCTCTAGGGAAAGGGTTGTGAAGTAAAGAACTGCAGATAGTGATCTGTATTAGTACGCCTGTTCTGTGAGAGTGCCAACTTGATAAAGATCTGAAACAGTTCATTAAGTTCATTTATTGATTGGCACTTCAGATTCAGTCTCTCACTTGGTGAGAAGAATGGAGGGGAGAGATTATTTACTAGCTGCGTTTTTAAAGAAATGAGGCAAGCTTGAACTGAAGCTTGTTCTGCAAGCTTCCCCAAAACTGAAGTCAGTGTAGGTGTAGTTCTCAAATGCTTGCAGTGCTTTCTTATGCCATATATACTTTGAAGTGGACTGAGAATGGATGTGAAAGTCAGACGGTTTCCATTGTAAAAACTGATGAGAGATCCTAAAAGATAAGTGGCTGCTTAGAAATGGAGAAGAAAATTAACCCATTCACTGTTGTGACCCCCAGCTGTGATTGGATCTGCCTGTGCAGCTTTTGGTATCTGAGGTGAAGGAAGAGTTGGAGCGATGAAATAAATGGGTTTTATAATCTTTGTTGTGCAAAGTGTCACGTGTATGATCTGGAGATGGTTGGAGATATTCAAGTGAAACATCATCTTGAGGAAATCTCACGTGAATTTGTTGGTCTAAGGAAGACTCAAAGATGACTTGGAACAAGCTTGAAGTTTTGTCTGAAGATAAATTTTGTGATAGTGCTGTAGTTGTCCTGTCTAACAGAGGAAAAAGAAAAGAGAGAGAAAACCTTTGTTTTATCATCAGGAGTGGGGGTTTCTAATTTTTAGCGATGAAAAACACTGATGAAAGGATAAAGGAATTCTTTTGTTTCCATGATACAATGAGAGACACCAGTTAATTCACTCTGTGAGGATTTTGAGATTACTTTTTTTAAAGATTTAGTTTGTTTAAAGATTCCTTTTTTTTCGTACTCATCAATACATTCCCTATTTGAAGGTGCATATGGTAGAAATTTACTCTTTTATCTTGAGCTACCGGCATGGAATAAATACTGCTGTTCCCTTTCTTAAGAACTAGACATAATCTTTCAAAACAATGTGAAGGTGTAGCTAATGAAAAGTTGTGCTGTTAGAAGACTTCTAAGAAGAACACTTGTTTTGAAGGTAACAAGTTTGAGACTGTTTTCTGCATGCCACTTAATTTTCAGTAATGCTGTGATCCAGCTCTGGAGCTGTGTCCCTTGAGTTACTGGACAAACATGAAATAAGTGTGGAAAAAAGTCAATGTCTACATTATAAATTGCAGATTTGTTGTGGTGATAGGTGTTTCTTCTTGTAGTGCCAGACAAGTTATTGGTAGCTCAGTGCTATATGTTATTTTCTTTCCTCTTTTCCAAGGAGTCTTAGTTAAAAAAAAAATTTACCAAAAAGATAGTTGGGAAGCTGAGAACAAAATGATGAGACAAAACACGATGCTGCTATGCAGATATAGCAATTTGAGCTATTTTGTCTCTTGACTGAAGACTTCATGGGAAGCAGTGGAGGAAAACAGCTCCACATTTATAATATGTGATTTAATTGAAATTATGAAAGGTACAGGTCGGTGCTGATGTATTCCGGTACACTTACTAGAGGAAATCACCTGCTTGATTGAAAGCTGCAAATTGTAATTTGGAGAGCATGGATGGAACAACGTGCTGTTGCTAAGCTACCAGAATTCTTATGACCTGCTCTCTATTTACTTCACAAAACTAGAGCAAAAGAAACTGTTTTAAGAATCTACATTTCGAAACCCACTATGAAATTCAGAAATCCGGTGATCTTGCCTGAAAATAAGTTTGGTGTTTTTTCTGTTGGTGTCTTAAGTTTGGATATGACGCAGCTTCTTGATGCTTCTTGTGATACTTCCTATTCAATTGTGAACAGGAAGGTCTGCTTTAGAAGAAGCTGCTCTTTTGACGTAGTTATTATCATTGCATCCTCTGCTGGTTTTTAACAAACCCTTGCCTTGAATAAGCCTTGGGGGAAAACACTTAGTAGATTTCCGGTTTAAATTGCTGTCTTACTGGTTAGGTGTTAAGAAACTGAATGACATAGAATGTTTTCTTTCCTCTGAAGTAGACAAGACGAGAGTAAGTTTTCTTGGCTTTCTTTAAAGTTATACTTTTTCTTACAAAAAGCCTGATACTAGCCCAGATTTGTAAAGAGTTGAGAGAAGCTAAAAGGTCAGAAAAAGCTGGTGTAACTCCTGTAGGTTATGTCATCAGTGTCTTTAACATACAAACCTAGGCTGTGAATATTGGGTATATTTGCCTTTTTCAGCTCTGTGATTTGTAACAGTGATATGGTTTAATTTTAAAGGCTAACATCAGACTTTGTTTTTTCTCCTGGCAGCCTCCAAAGGTAAAATGCTTGACAAGAATCTGGCATCCGAACATTACAGAGACGGGAGAAATCTGCCTGAGGTAGCCACATCATTCTCTTTTTTTTTTTTAACCTTGGAGGTTTGTCTGTGTGATAAAACATTATGTATAATTTTCATGCCAGTGTCTTTTTTTCAATGGATTGTGTTGTTCTTGCTGTGTGTTAGAGACCATGAAGAGCCTGGCTCTTCAGGTTAAGACTTAATGTTTTGTTCTACTTAGGGTAAAAATGTAAACTCTAACCTGGGCAAAACTCAGTTGGGTGTTTTTGTGTGGGTTTTCCCCCCCCCGCCCCAAGAGGGCTTAAAGCTTTACTTGTTTTAATGCCTGAATGTGTTAAGTGCTTGAAAACCATTTATATTTCAAAAAGGAAGGAAAAAGTGTTCCTTTAACTTTGTCAATAACTATTCTGTCTTTGCCATTTGTTTATTTTAAAATTTAACATGCACTATAAGACACATGTGCCAGTTGTAACAAAACAGAGTTGTGGGAACGTAGGTCAAAATATGAAGCCCAAAAGCTTTACTTTGGTAAAGAGAGAGGCTTGTGTTGTTGAGTCGTTTTGCGTGATACAGTAAATGTTTCCTCTTCAAAACCAGAAACTGGTTTCTGAAACTTTATTTTCAGTGTTTCATCATGAGTACCTGATGGTGAAATTGGCTGGAAACCAAACATAAACAGAAGTGAGAAGCATGACTGTCATTTTTCAAGTTAATAGGACATAAAAGAAAAAACTATATGAAGCAGAAGAGATGAAAATAAGTGAGATTGAAAGCTGTTCTGAAAATCCAAAACCGTTGCCACCATTTGTAGCAGATTAGTGCTTAAAAAAAAGCTATTTTTTTCCTCTAGATTTAAAAATATTTTAACGTTGTGTTCAAGATCCTGGCGAAAATGAAGTTTTCACAGGGTAATTTGTCACACTTCATATGAAGGTCAGGCTCATCAGCTGATATCAGTGCTTTTAGTCACAGTGATCTGCTCCAGGCTTGAGGATCGTGTTTTTACAGTTTCAATTCCACCAGAGTCGTCGTGGTTTAGCCAGTGGAGAAAGCTTAGATGCTTTAGGTCAAATAGTGCAAGTAAAGAAAAAGTTAGCTGTCTCAAACCAGAGAACAAGAAATACTAGACACCAAATGATAGCTAAAAATTTAAGTTCTGACTACAGTGCTGCATCTTCTGAGGTTAAATAAAGCCTTCTCACATTTTTGATTATATTTTACAGTTTCTTGTCTTTAAATGGATTTAATTATAAAAGATTAATGTAGTGTTGGAACATCGTAATTGTACTTAATGAAATGAAGTAATTTTTGTGGCATCTGCACTGAAACGCCAGCTTTATTTGATTGTCGTATACTTTAACATGTCAAACCTTTGAAATGTCTTACCATTTAGATGGAAAAACTAAAATAACTGAGATTGCTGCATGCCTGTTATAATGGAGAATGCGCTCTATATATAGTACCTGCAATCAACTTATAGATGAGCCTTTACATTAAAATAGCTTCAGTTAAAATTCCTTGTCAGTATTTTTCCCAACTGTCTTTTATTAAACATACCTCATGCTATGGTATGTGTTGGTTTGATAATCATCCTTGAAACAAAACATACCAAATGATTGAACTTGTGGTTGAGTGTAGTAGTTTTGGGCAGGCAAAGTGGTGTTTTTCTGTCTTTTATGGATTGCAGCTACTCTGGATCATGTTAATAATGGACCAAATTAATTAGGTGTGGACCATACCTGCGAATATTGCCTCCACTTGCACATGTGGATAGAAAACATCAAGATACCTAGAGAGGATATTAGTTGCTTGCTACATATGCTACTTTAGCCACCTTCTTGACAATGTGTAATGCACGTCACTGACTGCTTCCCCTCTGCCTCTGTTGATATGATCTCTGCCTGAGGTGTTTTTTCCTCTTTGACTACGTAAGCTTTCAGAATAGTTTAATTACTCAGAAATTTTGCTGCTTCTCTGCTATGTCGTGAGGTGGTCATTATTCTTGGATGTGTCTTTTTTCAGCAGTAAGTGTTGTTAGTTAAGATTTGGATGCTTCATGGTGCAATAGTAAAGGCTACGGCATGGAGAAGTGTTTGAAAACTGATTAGTTGTATTATCTAAAATGTATCACCATTAGCATGGCCAACAGATTGAAGGAGGTGATTCTACTCCTCTGCTTTCATGGGACCCCACCTGCAGTACTGCGTTCAGCTGTGGGGCCCCAACACAAGAAGGATGTGGAGCTGCTGGAGCGAGTCCAGAGGAGGCCACAAAGATGATCCGAGGGCTGGAGTGCCTCTGCTATGGAGACAGGCTGAGAGAGTTGGGGATGTTCAGCCTGGAGAAGAGAAGGCTCCAGGGAGACCTTCTAGCAGCCTCCCAGTACCTAAGGGGGAGCCTGCAAGAAAGCTGGAGAGGGACTTTTTGCAAGGCTACATAGTGACAGGACAAGGGGCAATGGCTTTAAACTGAAAGAGGGGAGATTTAGATTGGATATAAGGAAGAAATTTTTCACTCTGGGGATGGTGAGGCACTGGGACAGGTTGCCCAGAGAAGCTGTGGCTGCCCCATCCCTGGAAGTGTTCAAGGCCAGGTTGGATGAGGCTTTGGGCAACCTGGTGTAGTGGAGGGTGTCCCTGCCCATGGCAGGGGGGTTGGAACTGGATGATCTTTAAGGTCCCTTCCAACCCGAACCATTCTATAATGATTCTATCTAGTATAGCTCAGTACTGCAATTTCTCCAGCTATAAATGCTGATTAAGTTGATGGCTTGTTTATGTTCCCCAGTGCTGTTCCCAGTCTCCTCAGCTGTGGCAATGTGGAAACAAAAAGCTCTTTAGAAGGACTTTCTACACAAATTGTTCCACTCATCCAGTCTGTAGCGTGGCCTCCAGAACAGTTGCACTGGTGGTGCTGGGTTGAGCAGGGAGGTGGGCAGCAGGAGGTGAGCAAGTGAATAACCCCTCTATTGTGTCCCTGCCAGTGGAGGGATTCCGAAGTGGATTTGCAGCTTTTCAGTTCACACTTACCTTGACTGATACTTTCTGTTGGCAAAAGGAAGGCAGAAGTTTTGCTGGAACTGACGTTTTAAGTGTGTTCATCTCAGATCTTTACATAAAGCAGATTTTGCTCCTGGGCTGATCTCCCCATTACAGTAATTCTCAGTCACTGAAGCTGTAAATCATGTCAACTGGACTTTCAGAAAGTTTTAGGCTTGCGAGAGCCATACAGTTGCCAGTTCAGTAGATGTTTTTGCACAGTCTTTTAGGGTGCTGCATATTTAAAAAGAAAAAATTCCTCAAAGCTTTTCTCTGTGCAGGAACCACTCATAGAATGAGGAGATATTTGTGGAAACGAAAGCTGAGCAACAGGCCGGTCACATCAGTGGCTGTTTTGGTTACTGTAGCTTCAAAAATAATGATTTTTTGCAGTCTCCCCATAGGAACTTGTATCCAAGGATTTGAAATCATGCTCTGGGAGGTTTTCTTAGATACAAACACCAGATGTTAAGGTGCAGTTATCAGTTCCAGTCCCCTGTGACTGAGGACACACTTGGCTTTTTCTCAGACCCTACTACAGCCGAAAGCAAATGGAAGTAGTGCTTTACTGTCCTTCCGAATTCCCGGTGAAGTTCCCTGCCTGGCAGACTCCTGCTCCTGCCCACAGCATTCCCCCTCCTGTCCGCCGTGCCATTTCCCCAAGGCATGCACTCACCAGCTTTAGTAATCTAAAATGGCACAAAAATCGTACAGTTGGCTCACCTTCTGTCCTTACTTTTGCAAATTAATTCTCAAGCATCACAAGGGAAGCTTCTGAATGTTTATTCAACCTAAATGATACTGGATGAACTTTCTGGCACTTCTACATGAGACAGCAAAGTCCTGGCAATTTTGGAATAGTCACTTCAAGTAGGCAGGTTTTCCTGACCATCAGGTATCCTGAAACCCTGGTGTAACGAGTGGCTTTTGTGGTGTATCTAGCAACTCATCAAAGGCAGCTTCTTGAAGCGTTGAGTGGGTGAGAAAAACTCTACTGGTTGGGCAGTTTGAGAACTTCCAAGTACCCCAGCTCGTCTATGGCAGCAGGACCCACAGATGACAGGTCTTTGATCAGATGCTTGTTCATCCACTGCAGTAGATGTGGTTTGTGTATTTCTACTCATTTAGGTGTTCTTTCTGCTGTGTTTGTGATGCTCTGAAAGCACATCACCATTGAGACCTCCGAACTCTGGCAGTTATATCTAGGTCATCCCCATGGAGAGCATGAGATGCAGTTTCTCTAGACACCCTGTGCTGGGAAAAGGTTTTGATTAGGGGCCTAATGATCGTTTCCAATCCGCAGGAAGAAAGAGGATGCTGCTCTGAAAATGAATTCTATCACCAAATGAGAAATATTAGGCACAGTTACACTTGCCTATCTTCATTGCTTTTCTGCCAGAGCTCTGAGAGGTATGAGTGTCTCCTCTCAAGTCCTGACTGCTGATGTCCCCAGCTGGAGATGTGCTGAGAGCTCTAAGGCTTTGGGAAGCTGGAAGGATGTTCATGTGGCTTAGCTGATGTGCTCAGGCACTTTGAGCTCGATCAATTGATACTTTTATGCTCTTTTTTGTGTGTGCTAACTTATTCCATGCTCTTAAGTCCACAGTGAGCTATATGAAGAGGTAAAGGGGAGCACTGTAGCAAAATTTCAAGGATCGGACAAAGCAAGCTAAAAAGTCCATTATTTGCTCAAAACCTGAAAATCCTGGCTCTTGCCTGTTCAGTAGCATTTTTACTTTTGCTTTTGTAACGTGAACAAGCCACAAGATCCTATTTTTAATGCCTTTGAAATTAGTTTTGAACTGTGCTAGTAGTAATGGCATATTTTATCTTCTTAAAGGCATAGAAATTAGATTAACAGCACAGTTAAGATGAAATAGTCTTGTCCGGTATCATCATCCTTTTCCTAGCATCTCTACATTGAACAAGGAGTAATGCTAGTCATAGCATATTTCCTTGGATTAAAAGCTTGGCACGTTCAATAACTAACTATATGGATAGCCTTATATGGTCCAGTCATCCTCTGGAATTTAAAAATGACTTAATACATGTCGTCCTGGAAGATGGTAAAACCTAACAGTCTGACTCTTTGACTTTAACCCTGTCATTTCAGTTGTAGAAGCTGCCGGTGGGAATGAATTTTGGTGCTTTGCTACTTTGCTGTGTGAGTTTTCAGATTTAGGTTGCTTCTTAACAGAGGAAGACACAAGCAGAAAATGATGCATCAAGGAGTTTTCCAGACTCTTTCTTTCTCTTTCAGATTATGACTTTCACTTTCACAAATGTGAGCAAAACGTCAGCTCACTTCTCAATTATGCTCTGGTCTCCCAATATTTTTACCTCTCACAACTGCTGGTGTTTTGACCTGAAAGGTCTGGGATTGCCTCACCAACTGAATACACCGCAGTTATTTCAACTGGTCAACTGGTTATTTCAACCTCTCTTGCCCAGAGTAGTCTTCATCATTGTTTCCAGTTGGGGATGTATGGTGTGGCCTTCAAATGTTCGATGTGCAATACAGCTCAGCTGCTGGAAGAGGACTGTAAGACCCCACCGCTAGGCTTTCCAGCATTGTGTCCACAGAGGTTCCAAATGCATCTGATCATGTTATGGCTGTTGCAGAACCTTCCTGAGCAGATACACCAAAACTATTTCACTTTCCTATCCCTGCTTTTAAGAAGCTGAAGTCCTCTCACAGGAGAATTGATGATAATCCTCTTTCTTGCTAATTAGGTATCCTATCAAAAATACCCTTTTTTTTGGATGGAAATGTGCAGATTTGGTGAGAGGTCATACTGTAAGCCTGTCTGTTCACCAAAGATGAACATATTCTAAACTGGATCTTATGGGTCTGTGTGCTCAGGGGAAAATAAAAGTTCAATGTTGAGACTGTATCACAAGAATTAGTCGCAATTGTTTTGCTTGATGAAAATAATTCAGGTTTTTTGGCAAAGGTTGAGCTCAGATCATGAAACCTGTAATGACACTGTGTAGAATGTAATTTGAGGAAGGCATACCAATTTTTGTGCTTTAAAATCCTAGTACTGGGTGTAGTACAAGAGATCTGTAAATATTATGTTGTAATTCTTAAGTTCTTAATGTTTTCTGAGAAGATTTCTGACAAAGGTGGTTTAACTAGAAGTTGCACTGTATAACATGTGTGTCTTTTTTTCCAGTTTATTGAGAGAACATTCAATTGATGGCACTGGCTGGGCTCCAACTAGAACATTAAAGGTACCATTTCTTTTTAGATACCTATGTCAAAATAGATGTGTTTTAAAATACTTCCATGGACTTAAAGACAGGTAATGCAGTTTGCTCTATAAGCAACTAAGTTTTTGTCTTTCAACAAGTGTTGGTGGCAATACAAGTGCTAAGTGATTGTAGAAATGTTAGCTAGTTTTAGCTTAGCTTCACAAATATTGCTTTGACTGGTAAAAGGTTTTGTAAAACGATATGACTGCAGGTGACCCTGACAAACTTGCTTGGTAAGGGTGGTCTGCTTTTTTTTTTTTTTACCTAGGCAACAAATACAAGAGCATAATGTGAGCAGAACTAACAATAATCCATAAACCTTGTGGTTTCCATTGTAGTGACGTTCCTGACAAGTCAATAGTCTGTCTTTCCCCCTCCTGCCTCCAGGTTCCTCTGAGCAGAGGGATTTGGAAATGGGAAAGGCAAGTTGCGTTTGGGCGAAACGCCATATGGAGCAAAATCAGAATGTAGTTACTGCACCTTCTTGAACTCTCTTTCATCCTCAGTGTTCAAAAGAGGGAGCAGCACATCTGCACTTAGGTGTCGCATAAAGCAGGGTTGGTTTAGTCACTTCAGTAGGGAACTAACTGCCTCTTCCCTTTAGCCTTGTCTCAAATGTCATTTTACCTGTGTCACTAAAACTGGCACCTGTGAAATTGGTGGTAACTGCGCCACTGATGGCAGAATGGCTTCAGAGGTCGATCACACCACATCTGGGCAGCATCAACAAATTCAGAGTCATGGTTCTTGTATGAAATACTCTTAGGGAGATTGGCACAAAGGATGTGCTCTTCAGAGTAGGACTGCTCCTGTCTTGCTGTGGGAAGCAGTTGGTTGTCTATTTAGTTACATGACCTTGTTGCCAGAAGTCTTGCAGAGCACTGAGCGATGTTCTCCCTTTTGCTTTTACCAGGAACCAGGCCAGAATTGGTTCTGAAAGAACCTTGGCTGCATTAGGTAGATAAAGAGAACACGTCAGGTGTTTGTTTCTTTTCAAAAGGCAAATTGAAAAAGAGTTTTATCTAATACTTTGTTTCCTTTTTGGCACTATGAATAAGATCTGTGACTTTATTAATCTGTAAAATCTCTTCATGAGCATCTGACTTTCTGGAAAGTGGAATAGAATCAGTGTGTATTTTGTGGGTTTTCTTAAACAGCCCTTCCCTATTTCTTTTTCTCATCAGCTAGTATGATTTTGTTTTGCTCTTTCTGTTTCTGTTTTCATATTAGGTTAAATCAAGACACTGACTGGGTAATTAAGTTAACTGGTTCTGTTCCCGTCCCTGTATTTCATTACTAGAGAAAGTTTTTGGACTACAAGTTTTAAGCTTCAGCCATTGGAAAGTTTATACACCAATATTTCAACTGGACAAGAATGTACATTTATTTTTATCTTCTCTCCTAGCTTTGTTCATGGTATCTTTCTTATAGAGATTAAAATACTGCTGCATGTTAAGACTGCGGGTGGGAATAACTATTGACATTATGCATGCTTAACTTCCTGTCCTCAGTGCTGATGAAAGATGCGTGTTAATCTTCTTTATGATTTTATTCTTGTGTCAGTTTGCTAATTGCATATGATTAATTTCATAGATTAAACATCCTGGAATGTCAGCTACCAGGAGACTCCAATTGCTGAATATTATAAAGCATTTTAGGGTGTTTTTACATTCAATAAGTTAATGAGGGGGGAAAAAAAAAACCTCCACAACCCCAAAGAAACCAAAACAGGAACTTGGTAGATGTTGAAATGAAAGGTTAAGCAAGAGAAAGGAGATAGTAGTGTGACTTAAAGGAAAAAAAAAAAATCCAACATCTCCCTTGAATTCTGTTTTTTCCCATGGGCCTTGAAGCACCACAATTACAAGCTCATGGTTTGGAGCTTTAAAAAAACCCCACCCCAAATTGCAAAGTTTTCATTCTTTACTTTTTGTCTTCAGAGTCTCCACTTTACGTAAATGTGCAGTTTCAATTAATCTTCTCTCCCTTGTCACATTGTCACTTTGTGTGATTTGAAATGTCATCACAAAAAACAAGTCCCACATGTTGGTCCTGCCTTCCGAGTGCTGCCTCGGTAGAAACACAGTAGTTACACGGTGCTTCTAGTACAAAAGTAGCTTAAAAATAGGGCAGAAATAGCCATTGAGGATGTTGGGAAGCTGCAAAACCGGTGTTTTTGCTTGGGATACAAATTGTAATTAGATGGTAACTAGCATGTGCAGTGAGTCTGTTCTTTGTCAAAGACATTCTTCCTTCATTCCAAGTACACTCTTTGAAAGGACTTACGGGAAGGTGAGTCTTGGTCAGAGCCAGGGTTCCTGACAGCCGCTCTATCAGGTGTTGTTTCAGATCTTCAGCTGTCACCTGTGAAGCTTCATGCATGCCTTCCTGTGTGTTTTGAAGCTTGATTCTTTTCCAAGTGCTTAGACTTCAGGCTACACATGCTTCTGAAATGGAAAATATGGAATTGTGCTGGTTTATTGACAGTATGGCCACACAGTCAAGTGCATTAATAATTGTGGAAGGTGGTGTGTGTTAACTGTAGACCGCAGAATTACATGAAACAGTTGAGTGACCGGTAGCAAACGAGAGCCAAGAGATGTGACCCAGGTTACTTTTCTCTCATACCAAGCCACCTGCACCCAGTAATCCAGCCTTCCTGAATTCTTCATTTCCAACACTTGGACACCATGGTTTGGTGAACCCACTCATCTCCACAAGCGGACTGCTGTGTGAATTTGCACAGTGACACTACGAATAGTACCCTGTCTTGGCCAGTGATGGACTTAAAAGTCAGTATTTCGTATTCCACTCATCAATAATATGAAGGCAGCCGGGTTTTCTGGAGGAGTAGTACCCAAATTTGTCCAATAAAGCCCTCCAAAACACTGCTAAAATATTTGAGAATGGCGGTGTACTGTATTTCTGTGACAGAAATTGGCAGGCATTAGTAAAACCATTCAAATAGATAACGTGAAACCTCAAAAGCCGTGTGTGCAAACCAGCTCTGCTGTGTGCTACTGCGTGCATTCACGTTATGTGCTTAATCTTTTAGAAGGCTGAAGTTTTAAAGTTTTAGATTGTCTCATCTTGGGTATCCTTGTGGTGGCAGCAGAGCTCTTACATGAAAAATCCTTCAAAACAAACTGCTGTGACCTTTTTAACGCTTTCCTTAGTATCAAATGGGTAGAAAGTTGAAGAGGCATTGAAATTATACCTTTTAACTTTCTGAATTACAAAAAGAAAATCTCCTAAATACTCTTTAAAAGTTATCTGATAACATGTGTTTTAACAGCGTATAGAATTCTTGAGGAGGAGGAGGAGGGAAGCTAACTCTATTTTATTTCCTAGTGTTTTGTTGCACTCAGTGTCATCTCATCCATGATTGAATTCTCTTTAAGTCACTAAGTGTTGAGCATTATCTCGTTGCAGTTTTTCTACTTTACTTCTTCCTGCTATGTGTTTCCATGGACCACTGTGAGCAGCAGCCTGTGTGCTGGTGAAGGCACTAAACAATGTGCTGTTTCTGAGTTACTGAATTATTTTTTAAACCAGGTTATGAAGAAGGTTGGGCTTTAACCCTGAAACAGATCATTGATAGATTAATGTTTTAAACCAGTCTATATGTACTTTTTTGATCACTTTTTATGTGATTGTAAATGTTTTCTTCATCCATAGAAATACTCCTGAATCCTAAATTCTTAGATAATTTCTGGTAGTGGTTTGCTTATGATTTGTGTGAAAACTGATGCAATGCTTTCTAACTGATCTTTGTCTAATCTTTCACTTCTTTATAGCTAGCTGTGAGTTAGCAGCAGGAGCTTATTTACTGTTCTGTCTCCATTCTGTTATGTTCTGCATCATTTTATTGCATGCTTCTTTCCCCTCTAAAACAGAGTATTCAGAAAGCAAAGAACTGCTGAAGTTATTTTGGGCCTCTGCTCAGGCTGACTGAGCTCTCTTTTCCTCTGCTTTTAGGTCTGATGATCAAAATTGAAATTTTCCAGCCAGAAAGCAAATAGGTGGTTTTAATTCCGTTCTGTTCTCAGATTTTTATGTTACTGAAGATACCAGCTTTTAAATACCTTGTATGAAATAACACTATTGCTGGTGCTCTGTGCTGCTTCCCCCTCAATAATTCCAATTTCAAACTCAAAAGTGCTTCAGTAGCTCCTGTTAGTCCTCAACATGCACTTCCTTGTACCTTATTCGCCGTGAGTATCATCTACCCAGTTAAGATAGGTCTCCCTAGTATTCATCAGTTTTCCCTCAAATGCTTGTTTTCACTTCGCTACAAAATTATCTTGGGTGATTGATTTTAAAAAATAAAGGAAGGAGTGGATCTGGGCATTGTGATTGCCTAATTGGTTCTAAAAGTCAAGCTGTTCCTTCTACAATTACCTCTAACAAACTACCACTGGAATTCGATCAGTGGCTGATTTATGAACCATAAAAATAATCAAAGCACGCTTGTGCTACTCTGACTCTGGAGGGCTGAGCATAGTAGGGTTAAAACCAGTATTTTAAAATGTGGTGAATGTTCACAGGGAATATTTGGTCCCTTTTTTTTTTTTGTAACCCTGTTCTGATGAAGCTATAGTGGGTTTCAGATGATTAGAAAACTATTTTCTGTAGGATCTTCATGTTTACTGGTAAGGTGTATATACATTTCAATTCTTCATTGAGATAGTTTAAAGACCTGTTTTTTGTCATTTTCATGTTACTGCTGTCAGGAGAGACAGCAGTGGGAATGGAAAACATCCAGGTAGTCTTGAACTACAGATATGCAGACAACTTTTTATACCCACCTATAGGAAAACAATACTTTTTTTCAGGAATTCTTTTCCATAACTTCAGATACTAGGTGAAGAAATATCTGTCTGTTTTTAGATAATCTAATCTAAAAGGAATTAAGACTCATTTACGAGAAACCATTGCTATTTGGAGTTTATCTGTAAGAGGCTTGCTTATTTAATTAG